ATTTTGCACTAACATTAGTTAAACTACACAAGAAAAGAAAGAAATCATTACAGTTTAAAATACAAACAGCGAAATAAAAATCACATAAGGGAAGAAAACACCAGAATTGCACAACCCAAAAAATCGACGTTGGACAAAGGATGCACAAGAATTTTGAATTAAATGTTCACAGTGCAAACACTGCTTATGAAGTTTCAATTAGGTCAAATATGGGCTATTTATAATAATAGTCCAATAAAAAAAATTCTGTCCTTATATCATCTGATTTTACTATGCATGCATTATCGTGGGTGGCTAACATATATTAGCTTGTGGTAACCATTCTCCATTAATGATATATATTTGGAAAGCAATGCTTAGCATTAAATGCAATTCTTTAATGCATGTCATTAACATAAATAATACTTGTCTGCACTTTTTCGGAAAAGCGCCAACACCACTACTGGTGTCATTAACATTTTTTAAGGTATACCATATTTTAATAGAGAATTTTGTTAAATGTTGTTTGTCTGAAGCGGTGTTCAGAGAGACCAACTTCAAAAGTAATTCGGTTTACTTCTTTTGGAAGCCCGTCTCTTCACCGTTTTCAATTGTATTTTTTTCTGTTTTATGAAATTTATTAAATTGAAAAAGTCAACCGTGTCACTCACGGCGCTGTACTGGATAGACGGGGGGGGGGGGGGGGGGGAAAAAAAAACCCCCGTNNATATAAAACCCACTGCAATTACGACTGAACTTCATATACATAATTTCTGTTAATTATTCATTACATCCTGGAAAATCAATCCAATAAAAATCAACGCTTTTTTATTGGATTGCAAATGCATTGTAAAGTATTCTTCCTGGCGCCAGATTTATGTTTACATAATGGTCCCTGCATTATTCAACGTTATAAATAATATTCAAAAACTGGCAACGTTTCGTTAAATGGCCTTCACTAGAACTTATAAAATTGGGGTTTTTTATGTAGGCTTTTCTCCAATCACTGTACTTGCATTGGCATCCAAATTTATTCCCATAATGCATCGCAGCAGTAATTACAAGAAACAAAATAAGTAACCACGTAGAATTTGTTTTTGTACAGTACTTTTGTATACAGAGCAATTTTCCCTTTATTTTTTTTTTCTTGCCCATAATCAATGTTGTTAATATGTTTTAAATATAAACAAACTTCAAAACTTTTAAACTTCATTGACAAAAAGGTGTGACAGTTAATGGGTGGAAGTTTTGAGTTAAGTAGACGTCTTCCAGCATATCAATGTGTATCTGGAACCCTGTGAAAAAAACCGTACCAGTACGGTAACCTGGGGAAAGACCGTCGTTGTCTTATTATTAATATTGCCTAAGTTTACAGTTGTTTTTTTTTTTATTGAAACAAGAGGTAGGCCTACATATATCTTTCGTCTAATATATTTATGATACTCTTGCTTGGCTATGTCGTATTTCTCTGAACAGAACCGAATTATTTTATGAGTGGAACCACTTTTGACTTCTCCATAAACATTTCAAAAGTTGCTATTTATACCAAAGAGTATAGAATTTGGAAGAGTTCCAACTGTCGTGGTTTCTTTGGAGCGCAATCCTATTTCAAAAAGTACTGCCACGAAGGGGCGTATCCTTTAAAAGACGAATTTCGAGCGAACTGTTCGAATTCTAATAGGGCGCCCCTATCACGTGGTTAGTACTTTTTTAACGTTTCTTTGTGTGCACACAATGAGGGCAGTCAGGCGTGTTGTAGATACTTTTTTAAATACATATAACCATGTATGAATTATGTAAAGGCCGTTTTCAACCAGGCGAATTTTTTCGCGGGAATCGAAGCGTCAGCTCAATTTCATCGTTATGTGCAAGAGGATATTAGTATCACAATTATGAAGGGCATAATATAATGGGCTAATGTATAATGTAACATTAACAGCAATCGTTCACAATCAAATTTGCCACTTTGCTAGATAATTTAATCTATTATTTTTACAGAATGCCCCGAATTTCCAGCACCTGTAGATTGTGCGGAGGTCAAACAACGCAACCCAAAAGCAAACAGTGGACCATATTACATCAAACCCAGAGGTTACCACAGTCGGTTCCGTGTTTATTGCGATATGTTTACCGATGGTGGAGGTTGGACAGTCTTTCAACGCCGTGTGGATGGTTCAGTTGTCTTTAACAGAACTTGGCAAAACTACAAAGAAGGTTTTGGGACTTCATTGGGAGAGCATTGGCTTGGGAACGACTACCTACATTATCTGACAAGACAAGGTCTTTACACCCTACGTATTGATATGGAGGACTGGCATGATTCTAAAACCTACGCAAAGTACTCAAACTTTAATATCGAAGAAGAGGGCGACAACTACCGCTTAGACTTTGGAACTTACCTCAGTGGAACCGCACTAGACAGATTAACGTATCATAAGAAACAGCGATTTTCTACTTTTGATCGAGACAATGACTACAGTTCATCAGCAAATTGTGCGGCACTGCACAGTGGCGGATGGTGGTTTAAGTCCTGCGATGAATGTAACCTTAATGGTAAATACTATCATTCGGACAGATATACCGCCAGTCGTGATAACGGTATCGAATGGAAGGGCGGAAGCAGCGCTTCTTCTACCGGTCGCAATTTTTATTCGCTGAAAGTAACAGAAATGAAAGTGCGACCAATCGCCTACTGAAATTCTATACTACTGACGCTGTTATACAGTTCTGCCGATGATATATTTAGGCCTATAAATGTAGAATTTATGTTTCGAGTTTCATTCATATTATGCCCTCCAGTAGAGTCTGTAATCAGTATTGCAACTAGTAACTGTAGCGTACTAGTGGTTTAATACACCCCATTCTGGGGCAGTCTCTTTCCAGATAATATGGACTTGAAATCGAAATGATTATGTATTATGTATATATGCGTACACCCTATCTTCCTGCCTTTTTTCTTTTAATGCTATGGTGTGCATGAATCATAATTTGTTATTCACAGTCTTCATCATCTGTAATCATCGTCCAATGCTATATACGTTGATTTTTTTTTCATTGATTGTTGTTAAAATGTGAAAATAAAATTATGAATATTCAATGTCATGTAGTATTAGCAAAATGAATGACAATTTGTAAATGCTAGAATGTTGACGAATTGCATCACATTTGCGTGGAAATGATGTTGTGGAAGGGATGTTATCTACATTTGAAGTTTTTTTCCAGATAAGTCCAGTGAAAGAACCAGGAACACAAAAATACACGACAAAGAATTACTCTTGTATATATATTTTTTATTTTGCATAAATAATATAGATTATTTACTTCGGAATACAATTATCTGCCTCCAAATCCACCAAAACCTCCAAATGGCCCTTCATAATATCCACCATTCCCTAAATGAGTGTCTCCTAAATTGTTATTGTCCAACTCTTGATCGCTTAATTTTGGAGGTGGTTTTTGAGGTGGTTTATGAGGTGGTTTATGAGGTGGTTTTTGAGGTGGTTTTTGAGGTGGTTTTTGAGGCGGTTTTTGAGGCAATTTTTCCGGCAATTTTTCCGGCACTTTTTCAGGTTTATTCTTATCGATGCCTACGGGAGGAGTTTCAGAATTTTCTATAGCTTGATAGGTTCCGTAGTACCCAGTTCGGGCTAGAATATCGTCACTTCTGAACACCAATTTCACGCGGTTGCTGTCAGATTCCCAAATGAAAGGAGCATCAAGGGACCCACAAAGTTTTTCACTGCTACGACCGGACACTTCATCGAAAATCTGAAAGAACGCATATAAATATAATTTTATTATTGGGATCCCTTTATGAGAATAAATCCGAATACATGTAAACCTATGTCGCTACCATTACCTGAAGTGAATCCCATTCACAAAGTTGATAGTTTTCGATGTCCATGAAACGAATTGTAATTACAATATGGGTGTTTTTCTTCGTCTCTATATTCGTTCGGCATAACTCGTTATCTGGATAGTACAAGGGAAAGTTTGGACTATGTATCACCCCGTAGTGTTCAGTTAATTTACCAGCTTCGAGGTTGCAGAATGGTGGTTGCGTTGGAGTAACTGTAAAATAAACGGACGTAATAAATGTATTTTACTGGATGATACATGTATTTACATGTATTTTCTTGAATGTTTGTATAATGGTTATTACCTATTGATGGACTCTCTGGTGGTGGATCTATCTCCGTGTAATAAGCTTTAAACCCACGATACGTGTTGCTGCCATCTGAATGGAAGTGGACGACTACTTTGTGATCGTTTAAGACGTAAACATGTTGGTCTAGTTGGCCACATAGCGTAACCTCATCATTCGAGTTGTACGGCAGCTGTCAAAATGAAGAATAAATGAGATTCAAAGTATTTACTTCCTTAAAGAGATACGATGATAAATTTTTAAAAGTACTTGCATTGTCTATTCTACGGTATTGAATTGATAATGGATTCGCTAGCCCTCACCTTTACAAAATCAGAACAGTAGTTAAATCGCGGCTCTTCTAGTTCAAAATCCAGAAAATCAACCCTCACAACTTTTAGTGGATTAACGGTGATTGAGTAAGAGCAATCTAAATTATTTCCGTAACTAGAAGGGTAATCTGGCGTCTCAAACATTCCATATGGTCCTTTTAAATCTTCTGAGCATTGAGCGACTACAGATAAAACAGAAAGAAATTACTAGCACATGCAATTGAATTAAATAAACTTGTATATAAAATATATTATATTAAATTACCATCATTCAATATGAGGCGAGTTTTATATGTTGCGAGGAATCCAGTTTTTGTGACAATGTGATCGGTATGCAACCTGATGACTGCACGATTGGTCGTAGAGTTCCATTTAAATACCCCTTTCCTATCACAAAAGTGTTGGCTGGTTCCTTCTCCAGAGCTTGATAGCTGTAAAATAATATAATAATATAGTTTTATAATAATATAAGTTTTGACAAATCAAAACTGCAATGTATACGACTTGAAAATGAATATATTTAGGAGAGCAGCTTAGCTAAGTAGGCTAAACTGGTGGTAGTCAAACTGTGTGCACTGAACCGTAGAGATCCCTTGGTGCCCGGTTCAATTCCCATCGCTGCTCTTCTTGTATGTCAGACGGAAGGCAAAGCAAGTTAAGATAAGGTGAGACGTTTAAGCCGTTGGTTCCGTGTACATTATGGCCCATGCAAAGAACGCAGTAACTCTTCGGTAACAGTAGGCCTAAGGGATTGTCTCCCGATGTACTGACCAATCACCACAAGGATCCACTGATCCAACAAATAAATTCAATCTAATCCTATGACCTCTTTGATTTAAAAGAAAATAAACAATTCGGACTCGCCTCAACGTAATCATTTGTACAGTGCGGACTAGCCTCAACATCGAAGTATTCGAATTTTACTTCAATGGTGTGGTGAGGATCCGCAATAATAGTGTATGTGCAGTCAAGATCATTAGCATATTTGGCTGGGTAACTTGGCGAATTGAATGTACCAGTGGTCTCCAGAAGTGTGACGTCGCAGTCTGTTTAGTAAAGAAAACAGAAATATAATTAACGTTGAATAACTATATCATTTTGGTTCCACAAGGAGACCGGCTTGATGGTTGAGTGCAGGGGAGGATCCAGAGATGTCCAAAAGGGACCCCAAACAGGGGAGGGAAAGTTGGGCTGATCGAGACCCTAGGGGTTCCAAAATAAGGCCGCCCCCAAGATCTTCCCATGAGTGTGCAAAGAGCGATTGAATTTCGGTTATTTTATTTTAAAAAATTACTTACACGATGTTCGGGTTAAATTTTCCATTTTATAAGATGCATCAAAGCCGTTAAAAACACGACTTCCGTCTGTTACAAAAGTGATGTTGACCTCATTACTTTCGGATTCCCATATCAAGTTCTCATGTTGGCCACAAATAATGTTTGTCTTTCCCGTAGCAATGTCCTCAATCTAGAATGATAAAAGAAAAAGTACTGCTTTCAAATTGTTAACATGTTAGGCCTACAGACGACATTTGGTTATTTTTTTTAGATTTTAAATTGTTTAGGCCTACAGATGTTATATATATACACACTATATATACTATATATGAAGATGTGCCCCGTGTGTTTATACTGCGTACGGTAATAAGAACACACGATAAGCCAAATGTTGACTTGAGAAATATATATAAATAGGCCTAATATATTCATATATACACATGTACACCAACATTGTTCTACAATTTACCTTCAGATAGTCGCGTTCACACGGGGTTTGCAATTCCACATCAAAAAATTTAAAGTCTATAACTATTTTCTCGCCTACTTTTCCTTTGAGAAAGTACAAGCAAAGCTGATTATTTTGGTACTGTGGAAGTCTTTCTGCTACATTTGGTGATTGGATGAGACCGTTGGCACCTAGGTAAGTTTGATTGCAGTCTGAAAAGAAAATATTTCCCTTAATACTAATTAGGTAGGCCTATATCATGACTTGCAGAAGTATTCCGCAAAATTGAAATCTCTTTAAACTTACGAGTTGATGGAATCGGCCTCTCTAGAATATTGTATTTTGCCAGATAACCAGTGTGGGCAATGCTGCTATCTGTATGAAATCGCAATAATAAAGAATTCCCTTCGGATGTCCAAGAAAATGGTTCGTGACGATTACAGATGCGTTCCGAGTGATCATATTGAAATCCAACCGATGTATCTGTCATCTGCACAGAATATTTGAAAATGTACCGATTAGTGTAATCCTAATGCTAGAAGGATAATATTTAGAGGGAGGGGAGGTTCATTATGTTGTGACATACTTACGTTTAAGAAATCATTGTGGCATCCCATAGAGTTTTCTTGTTCCAGCCAGAATTTTTCAAAGACGATTTGGATGCGGGAATCCGACCTGGTTTGAATGACCATATCGCAATCATCGTTGTTGTCATACATATCTGGGTAATGCGACGTTTCCAAGTTTGAATTAACATCTAAGTTAGAATTCGTCACCAACACTTTGTTGCATTCTGTAAAAAATCAGTTCAAAACTTTTTAGATCCAATCATAAATACAATTTGAATATTAAATTTGATGAAACTTTAAAAACAGAGAGACTTGCCTGAAGGCGGTGCTTTCAAAACCGAGATGTAATGTATCTTAGAAGTGTGGTCATCCTGTTTGATATCTATGGTCGCCTCATTGCCGTCAGACACCCATGACATAATCCCATTGAAGAAGTCACAGTCGGTGTATGTACGTAGTGTGGTTGAATCGGTGATCTAGAACAACAAGCGGTCATGAATAGATTTATTCACGTAATTTAGTCTATAGTAAAATGTAAAAAAAAAATTAAAAATGTCTAGTTTAATTATTTTATGGTTAGGCCTAACTGAAATAATGCGTTAAACTCACGGTGATTCTTTCGGCGTCGCAATCATGGTTGTCGGCGTGTTCATGAAGGTAATTAACGACCAGACGATAATTTGGAAGAGTACGAATGATAAGTTGATAAGTGTCTGTTCCATCTAAGACAACCTCGGCGCTTTCAGCATCCCAAACACCTAATAGGGAGAGTAAAAAAATGCATGTGTCGCATGATTACGCGTATGATTGGTTTGAACTGTGCACGATTTATTGACAGGTAATGGTTATTATGTACCTAGAATTCCAACTCGGACAATTGGTTTCCATTTTGCTAATAGCTGTGGCAGTTGATCCTTGCTGGCAAATACACGTAGTTTCAGCTCATTTGTATCAGCTGTCCAGGAAAATGAGTGCGATATAGCGCAGTACTTGTTTGTTCTTGTAGTTGCTACGTCTGTTACCTTTAAAGAAATATTTAGGCCTATAATAAGTGTTATAGTGCTGAGATTCTATAGCGCTATGCTATTTCATGAGGATCAGGGCGTTACGGCTTAATGCTGAATAAAGATGACGTACTAACCTCAAGACCACTGTCCGAACAATTGAACACTTCATCTATGTCTTCGACGGTTAATTGAATTCTCTCTGAGGGTTTAGTTTTAATGTAGAATTGGCATTCAACATGTTCAGCATCCTTCACAACGAACTTTGGCAATGTAAACTGTGTATTTTGCGAGTCGTTTAGTCGCACGTAACATTCTTGGAAGAAAAAAAAACACCCGGTTTAAGTTTACAATTAAATCATCTTTTTAGATGTAAATAATGCATGGAAAGGAACTTACCACTGACAAGAGGGCATTGTACGTGTTGGTATGTTGTTCTAAACCCACTTGCACCGATGGACCTCTGACGGCCGTGTAGTCTTATCGAAACTACAATAAATCATCTTGTAGGCCTACATCTTTTTAGATGTAAATAATGCATGAAAAGGAACTTACCACTGACAAGAGGGCGTTGTACGTGTTGGTATGTTGTTCTAAACCCACTTGCACCGATGGACTTCTGACGGCCGTGTAGTCTTATCGAAACTTCATTTGTATCCGATGTCCAAGAAAAAAGCGGATACGATCCGCAAAGTGTTTCGACGCGTCCACTGCCCATGTCTATCAACTCAACGTAGTCGTTGCCACAGGGTTGTACATCAAAATTTGTGAAATTGAGTGTTACAAGATTTCCAGGTTCTGAGTGCACAATATGGCGGCATTCACTGTTGGCGGAATATGGAAGTGGAAAATTCGATGATGTAATAGTTCCCGTCGGTTTTATAACACGATGATCACACCCTGGAAAACAATTTTAGGTAGAACAGATTACGATATTAGATAATTGTCGATAACCAAAATAACTAACTAATTGAAGTGCGTACATTACCTGCAATACGTGGAATTGACTTGTATGTAGATCTGAATACATTATAGGTTGGGTAAATGCTAATGTGGAAAGTGATGGCAACAAGGTTCTGATCAGATGTCCAAGTAAACAAATCAAATTCACCGCAATAAACATTAGTGCGACCAGTGGTCAAATCCTTCACCTAGGAATTAAAGAAATTTTTGTTGAAAATATTTTTTAAGTTTAGAAATTTACAAACTAATTCGTTAAAAAAAATCCGCCAAAAACTTGCCTCCAAAAATTTCTCCCCCGTACACGTGATTGACTGACGATTCTTGTCTTGCTTTTCCCCAATTAGAAAGTCTGTTAACGAAACCACAACACTATGCTCTGGAGTTGTTTGAATGTATACTGTGCAGTTCTTTCCAATAATTTCATCTCGATTGTGTTCAAGAGATGAAATTATTCCCTCTGGTGAAGTTAGGAATTGATTGAAAGCTGTAAAATAATATAACGCTCATTTAATTTTACTTCCATTTAAAAACTATCATTGAAACTGCAATAGTATTAGCAGTTGGTATACTGTATTATGTAATGAGGTAACCTTGCCTGATAGTTTAGGGCGTGGAATGAAGCGGTAGGTTGCACTGACTTCAGCGAATACCTTCGGATTTCGTCGGAAGTCTATGCTAACTTCGTTGGATTCGCTTAACCAGGAGAACAGCCATGTGGTTGAACAAAATTTGTCTTGACGTTGTGTTGATACGTCTTGTATCTGAGAGAAAAGCATTATATAGTTCATTTAATCATATCTCCATGGAATAATTGACGGTATATTAAGACCTATATTTGTAAGAAACTTACGGTCATTGAATGCTCAGGACAAAGTCCCTTTTCCATGGTAAATTTATGGAACGTAAACAGAATTTGTTCATTTGGATCGCTGCGAATAAGTACATCGCAATGACTGGCTTTACTTTCACCGTTAAACGGCCATTCAATCGTTCCCGATCTCTTTGTAAACAGTTTTTCACAGCCTAGAAGAGAAGAAACACACGTTTATAAAGGGTTTACTAAATGGCCACTCCTATGGAACAAATCAAATACTATTAAGGCCTACCATCTTCAGATCTTGGTAATGTTTCATAATCGGCAATGAAGGAAACCGAGGAAATCTCATGTTCATCACGAACATATATCGCTAGCTCATTCCGGATGCTCGTCCAAGAGAATGGATTCAAATGTCCGGTGTATGTTGCCTTGTTAGTTTCTCCTTTCAATGATATATCGTGAATCTGTGGAAGGAAGTATTGCGGTACAGTTACAATTTTGAAATTCTACGAAGAAACTGTTTTTGAGTTGGTATTTTAGGAAAAGGCAGTACCTCTACGAAATCCTTATCAGAGTCTTGGTCGGAAACCACGAAGCTGACAAATTTCAGTCTAATTCTCTCGTCCGGATCTGCGTGAATAACGATCAGACAATCCGATCCACGGACAGGTGGCCAATCCGGATTTACAGGCAGTTGGATGCGTCCAGATTTCTGGTGCAGATTCGTACTACATTCTGTAAATATATAATATGCCATGTAGTATATTGCTAAAATAGGTCTAATATAATTACTGTATATATTACTCGTATACGTTTATTATTGCATTAGGTCGGACCTACCTGTGTTTTCGGGTGTTCTTGTTGGTCTGTTGATTATTGAACAAATTGCTTTAAATCCAGATTTTTGGTTTCTAGCATCAGTTTTGAATTCAATCGATACCTCATTTGAATCTGATGTCAACGTAAACGGTTCCTTTTTTCCACATAGTTTGTCAGAAAGGGATCCTGAAGTGGAACTTATGAACTTTAAAGGATAGAAAAAGTTGTATCAATTTGAGATTTTCAGGTCCGACTGTCAAGTAGATGTGGGATGGGTTCACTATCAAAATACACCTATCCATACACTCACCTGCACATAATCCCCCTCGCATCCCTGTGTATCTTCTAGGTCAAATTTTTCGAAGTCAAAAATTACATATTTATCTGGTAGTTCTTGAAATAAAAGCGTACATGATGCTCCCGATGGATAGTTTGAAGGAAACTTCAAAGATGTCAAAACGAATGAATCTCCATGTCTGGTTATGGTCATACAATCTAAAAATGTTTTGAAGACGGGAGTTACATATGAATTATTAGCTGGATGTCTAGCATTTTAGCAAATCCAATTAAATGTATACAATACCTGGATCTGGGAGTCTAATTATAGACTTTGCAACAAGTTTAATGCCCGTGTAATCAAGTAGGTTGTCTGTTTTTATCGTCAATAGCACTTCGTTACTATGGGACGTCCAGGAAAAGTTGTGATAACTGCCGCAAAGTTGGGAAATCTGGTTCGTTGAAAGGTCTCGGATCTAAAGGAGCACAAAATTATTGAATGTTAAATGTTATAATAACTCGCTTTCGTGTACACGACTGATTAAAGAAATTAGGTTATTGGCCCTACCTGTATGTAATCATCCAAACAAATTTCTCCATGATGCGTCTTTTTTGGCGGTTGCAAAATAAATTCGGAGACATTTAATGAGATCACTTTATCAAATGATGTATGAAAGATGTATTGACATTCAAGGTTACTAGGATATGGATGTGGAAAATTTGGTGTCGTTACTACGAGGCCATTTTCAGGAAGACCCAGTACTAGTTTACTACAGCCTGCAAGAAAATTTAGTTGTTTAGTGCACAAGAGATAAAGTTCCACTATCTTCATTCTAATCTTGCGGTAGGCTTATGTGTGTTACTTAACTTTGTGTAATTGGCTGCTGGAACTTACTTTCGTCGAGTGGGCGTGTAATAAACTCGTAATCAAATTCCACTACGTTTCTCAAATCAGTCTTGTCATAAGTTATAACGACTTCGTTAGCATCAGATGTAAAAGATACAGATTCGTGCTCTCCGCATATATTTTTTGTCCGATCTGTGAGCAAATCTTTAATCTTGAAATAAATAAAAAGTATATATTATAGTATAGTACACAATAATACCGGTAATGATGATACTAATTGAAGTACTTGTGCTTTGTACACTGCATAATAATCATTTTGTAAATACTGAATTTCTTGCCTTTAACGGGTTCTGACAATTTGGAATTGCGAGTTGCCTAAATGAGATTGAAACCCGTTCATCTGGGCGTGCATGGATTACAACTTCGCAGGTATCACCATTTGGTATCGTATTGCCAAAATGCGATGACTCATAAGGAAAGTCCGACATATCTGAGCTACTGTATACTCCAATCTCTTCTACAAGTACTCTGCTACAGGCTTTAAGATAAAAACTCGTATGTGTATTTTTAGGTACAAGGGCTAAGGATACGCCAATAACATTAAAATTCCTTTTACAATACGCACGACGTAAACCTATTTATTGAGCTTAGATATAGAGAAAATCTTTTTACTGTGAAATTTCCACGCCATCATATTTGGTCATTATGAGTTATTTATTCAGATTCGGTAATTATAAAGTGACATAAAAAGTGTTACCAGGGAGACTATTATGCCTAGGTGAAATTCCACCTATAAAAATACAACAATAACAAGACCAAGGAGCAATATAGAAACATCACAAAAATATTGCCAGGTCATTGCTTCAGTAAAAATGTTAGTATTTTAAACCAACCATTTTTTGGTGCCTTGTCAACGGTACGGTATGTAGCATTGTATCTGTTAAAGACTTTACTGGTGAGAGCGTTCATTGTCACCCATACTTCATTAGAGTCTGTTAACCAAGTAAATGGATGAAATGTTCCACAATATACGTCTTGTCGGCTGCTTTTACCGTTAGATACCTGAAGAAAAATATTAATGTATACTGTATTATATGAATAGACGTACGAAACGGTAATTTTGCCGAATCACCCGGCGAATAATATTCAGCTACATACCAGTACATAATTATTTTCGTCACAAACATCTGTCCCTTCGAGTGTAAAATTGTTGAAAGTGAGCAGAATTCTTTTATCTACTTGTAACTTAACCTCCATTTTACATTCGTTAAAATCAACAGATTTCCTGGGCCAATTTGGAGAGGTAATGCATCCCGTTTCGCTTTCCAAAACTCTGTCACAGTTTGGTGGTATGATTACTACGCCTTCATTTTGACGTCTATCCACATGAAGTCTCTAGGAATAAAAAAAAAAAAAATTAATATAATGCGTGAAATAAATGTTTCTGCTTATTCTAAATGTCGGAAACAGGCGCGGATCCTCCCCGCCCCCACCCTCCTGCCGGTCAAGCCGAAAAATAAAAGAGGGAGAAATTTGATTTAAAGAGAGGAAAGGGAGAAAATGGAAGTGCACCCACGAGTTCAGTGGCGATCCAGCAGTGGAAGAAAGGAACTCAATTGTTTACCACTTATTTACACCAACCATGGTGGGGCGGAGGTGGGCGTGGCGGAAAATCTCTGGCTCCGTCGGTGGGAAATACTTGGGATATTTAATCATGTACAGAACATCTATTTTAAATACAGATATCGCATTATAAATTGCCGAATCAAACAAGTTTAGTAGGCCTGTATAACCTCACCGAACTAAATTGACCAAGTTATAGGTATCCAGCCCTTAATGTTGGATAGCTGACTGCTCACAATCCGGCTTGAATATTACCAGTGTGTTTTTAGCCCTATATATTTTATTCTAGGCTTACCGTAGTCTCGGCAAATACTTCAAGAAGAAAAACGAAGGACAAAATACAGACTGCGATAGCATTCCTATTTCCCATGACTCGGAAAAACAACGAACCACGTGGAAGGCAAATCGATAATTGCCGAAATACTGTCTTGTAGCGCTTATATACTTACCGCCTACGTAATAGAATTAATTTGCATATAAGTATTTTCATGGCGACTTGTACTTGACCATGAATAACAGGATTTCTTTATTATTGGCCTATATCATAAATATCTTTTGAAATGCTGTAGACCTGCATATAAATATAAAATAATTAAGAAAAGGCCGAAATGAATTGTAACTGAGTGCAAAATTTATATTAATTCAATTATTATTTGACATAAAAATATGATACTCACGTGGCAAAGAAAAGATATAATATTTGAACGGTATGCATATAGACCTACTATATATATATA